GGGGTGATTTGTGCGAGCCAGCCTGTGGGAACTATATATTGAAAACTGTTCCCTCTCATACACCCCCCTGCGCGTGAACTGACCCGGGGAAATCGGGGACTATTTCCTCACTTTCGGGCGGCGGAATAATATGGAGAGGCGGAATAATATCGAGAGGAGAATGAGCTGGTCCTGCCTCTTAGGGGCGGGGCTAAGAGGGCGTCTCTTAGCTCCGCCCCCTGGTCGCCAAGACGAGGAAGAGGGCCATGGGCCTGAAGGAGAGGGAAGGTAAGTTTGGAGTGGGAGGGGGCGCTGGGAAGAGAGAGAGAGTGTGTGTGTTTTGCTGGGACTTGTAGTCCTGCATAGCTGGTGGTAATCTGCATTGCTATATGATGATTATACAGCAATGCAGAATAGCACCATCTATGTAGGACTACAAGTCCCAGCAATGCATTATAGGGTGGGGTTTGGATGCTGGTGGTATTCTGCATACCTTACTTTTATTATAATGTATTGCTGGGACTTGTAGTCCCGCATAGCTGGTGGTATTGTGCATTGCTGTATGAAGATTATGTAGCAATGCAGAATAGCTCCATCTATGTAGGACTACAAGTCCCAGCAATGCATTATATTTTTTAGTAGGGATACACCAGTGTTAATAGTTAGTGTTGCCTTCCCAGAGACCATGGAAGCTGAGAGAAGTAGGCAGGCTGGCAGGGAGAGGTTTGCAGTTTTGTTAATAATGTGTGGTGAACAGATAAAAACAGATCATAATGTCCATGCTGCTAGCTCTTCCCCTGTCAGTGCAGAAGCTGGGAAAGGGGGGGGGGAGCATTGGCAGGGGCTCTGCTGCTCATTTTCTATAAGTATAGCCGCCCAGATCACTTGTAGCAGCCTACTTGTGTGGCGTACCATCACCACCACCCTCCGTAGTTTTCAGTGTCCCCTGGCAAATTCATTCAGGATGGAGAGAATTTATAAAGTGATATAAAAATTTAAAAAAAGAAATTAAAACCAACCCTGCCGCCCTACCATCTGCCTGCAAATAAACACGTGCACATGGGGCATGCGTGTGTACTTAAAGGACGATTGTGCCATACAGGTTAGGTATCACTGCGAATGTGAAACTATTTTTGGGTCGCGACTTAATGACCAAGGACAAATGTGGGTCCTGAGGTTACACAGGTTGAGAACCACTGCTCTAGAGCATCACCTGAACCTCCAATGAGATATCTAATAGGCATAGACACACCTCTCCTACCCTTATCTCTGACGGGTCAAAAAGATGTTCCATTTGGATCGACTTATAGATATGTGACAATCAACCCACCCTGATAGGAGAAACTACACTTATTACTCATCATCCCATCAATCGTGTTCATGCATTGATTACTTTTTCATATGTAAGGTGGACTTTTCTACAGTTATAGAGACAACCATAGAAGACCTTACAATCTCTGATCATGCCCCAATCACACTCTCATCCAGGACATGGTACTAAAAGTGAATGGAACTGCTAATCTGCGCTTGTGGATAAGATGTTAATAATATGGGAAATAAAGCTGCCACAATAACAGACTGAAAAGCCTTAAAAATGTATATGAAGATTTTGCGGTACTGAATCCCCTTATGCGCTATAACATTTATTGCGCCATGAAACAATATAATCTTATATTTGTGACCAAAAAGTGTCGTTATTCAGAAATTTGTAAATAGTGAAATTTATACAACCAAAGTGAGACCCTATAGTCTATCACAATAAAATAATAATATTAAGTGTCAATACTAATAGTAATAATTGGACCGACAAAAATCAATTAACCAGCAAAAAAAAATTTTTATAGGTAAAAAAACATATATAAAACTCACATTTAAAAGCGGAATGGCCGGTATCTCATGAGCCTCAGTGCTCACTTCCCCATTCAACATGACACTGTGACGTCAGATAACCGCGCCCCGAAGCGTTTCGTCACACAAGACGTTGTCAAGGGGATAGCAGGTCTAAAAAGTGAATGCCTGATACAAGGTCCATTGAAAGACAAGCTGGCTAATAGACTCGCCACTATCTTTTCAGAAAACAAAACCTTGACATCCTCCACTAGTAACCTGGGAAACACATACCGTAAGTGTGTAATAAGAGGACTCCTCATCCACTCTTAAAGCACAACACACCCTTGCCCAGGTTCAAAAACTTGAAGCCCTGCACAAAAAAAATCACTAACACAATCCCTCATGCTTAAACCTAAATTACAAAAAGGGACAAACTTACCTCGCTACTACTACATAAAATAAAAGGCTAAAATCACTAGATATAGAAATTTCCATGAATGGGGATGCCCCCGTCATAGCCTATCTGTGTCCTCATGCTGGAACCCTTTATTAGACACATCAAACATCACAGCTTCAAACACGTTTGGCCCATCACAAGGATGTGACATATGCCGGCAGTCTTTTATTTTTCATTACCAAACCTGAACAAATCATCCCCAATCTGCTAGCAGAAACTGAGAGAGATATATGCAATACTTTACAAATCAGAGGTGCTCAATATATATTTTCCATTACCAATACTCAAGTTTATTTCGCCTTTAAATGGGTTTTCAACCACATCTTTAACCTTGGGACAAAGATCACCCCTAAGACTGGAAAGCTATTTGAGAAAATGTTCTCCCTCTTTTGCAAACTATCAAATGGGACCTTCAGAAATGGCACAGACACTTACATCTGGCAGGATCACCTTTCCTAAAATGAGCATCCTACCTTATCCTACCTCATCCACTCTATTTTTTTCTCCATCACAAAATCTTTTCTATACATTCTTTATTTGGTCTCATAAAAAAACCCTAGATTGGAACGGAAACTGTTGACCATGCCTAAAGCTCATGGGGCATGGTTTACCCAACCCAAACAATTACACCAGGCTGCCCATTTAGCCAGAACATTAGATTGGTGTAGGCATTCTACAATCAAGCAGGTTAAAAACAAAAGTTGGAGTGCAGCCACAGTGTTGCGTCAAGGCACCTCAGATGTGTGGTCCCATACTCTAAACTTTCTGTGTTTCCAAACTATTTAAAACAGATAGTAATGCAGGCTCACCTGGACTCAGTCTCATCCTCCCTAAAGTTACAGTCACACACCATAAGCCCAGACATTGCCTTAACAAGGCAGCTATGGACTTCCAGTGTATGTCTGCACAAAATTCAAAAAAGAAAATATGGCAACAGCTCTGAACTGTTTAAAATTAACAAAGAGGTAAAAGGTGCACATTGTCAGGGCAATATGCAAAACAGTACAAAAGGGGTCCTAGGTTGACAATGCTGCTTCTCTATATATACAAAAACAGAAACAAAGTCAGTGTTGTCTCCCTATGACAGGAAGTATGTTACTGGCAATATCACCCGGTAAAAATAATGGAAATATGCCTAAAAAAAAAAAAATCGAATGCAGCCAGCACATCCGAGGACTGGTAAGCTGCAATATATTAAATTGTTGTTCTTGGGTTTAGATATGCTTCAATTTGGGTTTACATCTACATTAAAGTATTCATTTAAATAAAACCATCTAAAGTATTCTAAAATACACCTAATAATTTGATGCACAACAAAACTAAGACTGAAAGAGGGACAGTCAGCATTAGAGGACAGTCATCCTTTACCACAGTGCACAGTCATACAAGGAGGTGTATTCATTAAGATATTATTTTTAACCTAAGCTGCTGATAGCAGCATTGCAATAGCTGCCAAATCTGCTATCTGCGAGAGGCCCAAGCTTTGTGTTTCTGGCACTGGTAATGGTTTTTCTGTAAACATTAATTAATATTTTAAGTTGATTGCACTCAGCAGGTTACCCATGTGAAACCAGCAGCTTTAAATACTATTTTCCCAGCAATTAAATAACACGATACAGATATACTGTATACATCAATGCAGCTCGATTTATAGTTGTATAAAGATTTCTAATCCTTAGAAACGATGAGTATATATTACAATGTCATTTATTCTTACAAAAAATCACTTTATTAATTTTCTAACAAACATGATCCCAGTAAATAAATTTATAGATTTATAGATTATAGTATGAGAACAACTATCTAACTGAAAAAAATAGATTTTTTTTTATTTTTTTTTAAAGAAAGGGGTGCGGATAATACAATAAGAGTACAAAGCATGTCATCTGCCTGGCCAGCTTTTTTATTTACTTTGGGAAGGCTTGTATATATGCAAGACAATACTCGGAAGCTCAGCTTAGACGAAGTGAAAACAGCTGTTTAGTTGGAACGCAGTATTCAGAAAACCAGGATGTATACACGACGGCATCAGCATGTTAATATCTTACTTCAAGCAAAGCACTAAGAGGTCACTGGCTGCGCAGAAACATGCACTACAGGAAGCCAACTGGAATTCTTTCCTTCCACGTCTTACATAAAAAACACACCCACTGTCACACTTACCAACCACAACAAGTAGGGTCCATATTAAATATATGCCGCTGTTGAAGCAGGTGGCGTACTGACGGAACAGGCACATGCATATGGGTGGTAAAACAAAAAACAAAATGTTGCTGACCTATAAAACAAAATAAATAAAATAGAAAATCAGCAAATAAATATGTGCTAAGGTACAAAGAGCAAACAGAAAACATATAACAAAAATTAAAACTATAAGCATTAGTTTGAATGTTGGAAAATAATGCTATTTTACACTGTACAGAAGCTAATACAGTCTTTGTGACTATAGGCTTTTCTTTGTCATCCATTAAGGGACGCAGGTATTGAGTCAGCAACCATTGGGCATATAGCGCTACCCTCAGGCGAACTGGACAATAGAAAACAAAACTGTAAGCCAGCCCTTACAGCAGGGGTCGGCAAGTCTAACTCTCCAGCTGTTGTGGAACTACAGGTCCCATGAGGCATTGCAAGACTGACAATTACAGGCATGACTCCCAGAGGCAGGTTGAATTTGTATATAAAGTACAGCTGAAGAACCCGAGTTGCCCACCCCTGCCCTACAGCCTATATAACCCCTTCCATATTTAGCATGCTTCAGTTTTAGCTTGGTACCTCTTAGCAGGACACACGTTTAGGCTGGTCACCTGGTTCAGGTCCAAATCACACTACACCATGTCAGTGGTTTATGCATGCTAAGATGTTTTTCTTTTAGAAATCTTACAGCAGCTGCTGTACTCGCTCAGATACTGTTTTAGGACCTTTGTGCTATTATTTAGATTCCCTCATTAAATGACTGTTTTATTTTAATTATGACTACTCCGTGTGTGGGCTATACTGTATATATAATTGGTGTGCGTTTATGGGGGGGTGGCTGAAGAGAAAGGAACTGTCTACATGTCACACATCAGATCAAAGTAGCATGGTTGCTTGCTTTTGATGTTGGGTAAAGTTGTCCATAGCAGGCACCATTCCTGACATATCCATCCTAAAATGATAGCTGCTTGGCTGTCATGCTGAACCTATGTCACTGACATGACAAATATGAAGTTCTGACTTCATCCTGGATTAACCTACTACACAGTTGTTCTGGGTCAGTGAATAAGGAAGTACTAAAGCCAGGGATATCCAGGCAACTAGCATTTTCCAAGGTGGAACTTTAATTGGAAATCCATGTAACAAAATTCAAATGGTCTATTGTTGCATTTCAGCCTAAAGAAAGGCCATGATTTGAGTAAAGCCTGAAAAGTGTCAGCAGACTGCTCATTACATGTACATAGGGTGACTTTTGAAGGCTTTAAAACAACGAGGAAGCCTGCCTTTTAAAAGGCCAGTTAACAAAAATGTGGGTATGAATTGTTTTAGCGTATTAGTTATTCCCTTGCTGACCGGGGTGCAGGGGCGTAACTAGAAATCACAGGGCCCCATAGCAAAATTTAGTATGGGGCCCCGTGATTGCTAGTTATGCCACTTGCAGAGCCCCAGCGGAGAGTGACCCTGCAGAGCACACCATAGACTCCCTATAGTGGGCTCTGCAGGGTCTGAGATCTCTTACCTGTCATCGCCTCTGCGGTCGCCGGGCCCCGACTCCTGTTCCGTCAACGGGCCTCGCCTCCTCTGCTATCAACGGGCCCCACCTGCTCTTAGGTCGCTGGCCAGTGATGTAAGAGGAGGCGGGACACATAGCTTTCTTTTGGTGGTATTTAATCATATTTAAAAGACGGGGTATTTAAAAGACGGGGTCACGTCAGGTAAATAGACACCAAACATGTCAAGCCTTAAAATTGTGCGCGCCCGCAAAACCTGAAAAAAACTACAATACCCAAAATTGGCCATAGGCGACGCTTCAAAAGCTTTTACCGCTCATCAGGCTCGGGTTATCAGTGATTGATGGCCCTGGAATTATTACTCTCACTCTGATGTTTGCGGCGATATGTAACATGTGTAGCGCAATTGTGGTTTTTGTGCGATCATTTTCAAATTTATAGTACCCGTGTGGTCACTTAGACCTTTCAAACCAAACACATTCCGGGATGTGCTAATGGCCATGCAATGCTGTAGTTCAGCCACATCGCAGCAAGCATCTACAATGAATCACATCCATTGTCTGGATTTGGAGGGTAGCTTATTATGATATTGCTACCCTCCATCTTACGTTTATGTGATCTCCCAGTCAAATTTCTCAGTCTAGTTTGTTTTTGGCTTGATACAGGATGCAAAAAAAATACACATTTCATAAAGCACAATAAAAGTGCGTAACTACTGGTTTAAATAAAAAAAAAATAGCCTAATCTGGTGAAATGACAAACATGACTTATAGTATGAGAACAACTGGTAAAGTCCTGACGTTGGTATTCATTGTTCTTGACAAGATTCAGGTGCCAGGAATCAGCAGGAACAAGAAGAGAAATCGGTGGCTCAGGCGTCAGAAGCAGCACACTTTGTTCTGCACACTTGTGTTTACTCTATCATCCCTTCCGAGCACGAGCAGAGCTTTGTTTGACTATGAGAAGTGCCAACATTTAAAAATTAGGCTCCCCCTAATGGCTACATTCATGTACTACGCAAGGGGTAGTAACCTCGGCCTCCAGCTGCTGTGGAACTACAAGTCCCATGAGGCATTGCAAGACCCTGGCAGCCACAGACATGACTCCCAGAGGCAGAGGCCTGATGGGATTTGTGGTTTTACCACTGCTGCTGGAGTGCTGAGGTTGCCTAACCCTGTTTTACGATATGAAGCTCTAGAATGTGCATATGCTCAGCTCTCATTTGTGAGGATTGTTTGATTCATGGAAACACATGGAGCTATGGAATACACAGAGATGTAGAGAATCAAGCAATTGTGACAGTTTTAGCCTCTTAGATCATTTTTCTCTAGTCACCTTCCAGGACAGCATTAGACAGCATTAGAGAGATAGGCTCCTCCCACCAGAAACAGGAAACACATCACCCACACCTAGAATAAAAAGAGTACCAGCCTAGCACACTTCAGTTATTTTGTGTTTCCTCCGGCCGAGCAGGACATCGTAACATTTGTTATTTTTTTCCTAGGCCTACGTGCTAGTGAGCAGGGGCTTCCCCCCAACAGGGTACAGCAGAGGGTCAGGGGACCTGGGGTACCTATGGAGGGGGGCTTCCGGGACAGCCCCAACTGTCCAAAAGAAATTGCCTTTAGTTTCCCGGCATAAGTGTATGCAGGACAACTAGCATGTTGGTGTAGTGGACTCAGAGGAGTTCCCCTAGTCCTTAAAACCCCTGCCTCAAGTACTGTGTGTGGCGCTCCTACCTGATCCGGGTGATTCGGTGGTGGCCACAGCGGCATCCCCTGGTCTCTGTATGGAGTTGGTCGGCCGCTGGAGACGTGCAGTGCGGCGGCCCTCGTGGAGACAGGGGGAGGGAGGAGACGAGCTGTAAGGCGGAAGTCTGACGTCACTTCCGGGTGCGAGGGTCATATGACCCGGCGTCTCCAAGCCTCAGTTAACGCTCGGCCACGCTACAGATGGCCAACACAGTGGAAGCAGGGGGTCGCAAGGCCCTTGCGGTGCCCACACACGCAAGGGGGGGCACCAATGGTGGGGCACAAGAGCTGGAGTCGGAGGGGCCAGGGGGCTCAGCTGGAGACTCTAATACCATGATGGCATCAATTGATCTGGGGGATCATGGTGCCGGCAGCTCTAAGGTAAGAGAGGGGGATTTCCCCACTCCTTTTACCGGTTATTTTTTGTGATGTGGTATCCTTCGGTTCTTATGTTTTAACTGAAGTGTGCTAGGCTGGTACTCTTTTTATTCTAGGTGTGGGTGATGTGTTTCCTGTTTCCGGTGGGAGGAGCCTATCTCTCTAATGCTGTCTAATGCTGTCCTGGAAGGTTCCTAGAAACAGAGTTACCAGGTACGTAACTCCAATTTTTTTACGTGCAAATCTGTCTTTCAACATGTGCCCCTGTTTTGACCAGCGCTTGCACTACTTTTCCAGTTGCACCTGTTTTGGCCAGAGCTTGCACTACTTTTTCAGTTGCATGTTTTTGCACCTTTTTTGCACCTGTTTATATCTGCACTTGTTCTCCGGCTGTCTGAAACCGGAGCATCACCTAACAAAACAATCGCAACTTAAGAAGTCCCCATGACCACTTCTGCAAAAAGCGACAGTTAAGCTTTTTGCCCGGAGTTACAAGTTTTTTTTCCTGGAGTCTATTAAACCTCATTTATCAACAACATTACACCAGCAACATAAATCTCGCACAAAGTGCATCAAATATATTCCATGAAAGTTCAAACACTCGCAATTGCTATGATAAATTCC